TAGTAATAATAGATCCCAATTAAAAAAAATGTTATTGACGTAATCATGGTGTGATAAAAGATGCTAGTTCTTTCTTCTTTTTAAGAATAGGATGAAGAAGAAGTGTGCAAGACTTACATCATCATCTCTGTCGAGAGCATTGTGGTCCTGACCAGATAAGATAGGAAGAAGATGAATTCAATACCAGTTAAATCGGTTCATAATTGAGGGGGAAACGGCGGGCACTAGGATGAGAATATACCTCTTCATTGTCATCGTTACCATACATTCTGTTCGTAAATGCTTGACTTAAATTATTGGCCAGAGCAGCAACATCGTAATCCTTGTCTTCCTCATCGCTATCTCTTGTCCTATCTTGTACTGTTGTTGGGCGCCTACATTTAATTTAACAAAGGGTTTAGGAATATTTATAACCAAAGAGTGACTATAAAATCGAAATAAGGACACGGATCACACATAAACTTTTACATCCATAATAAAGTATATGTAGCAGTGACTGATCATGTTGATGGTTGATACTATACGATTAGTGAGAAGAGGTAATGGACATACCCGCATCCCCATCTGTGGACATTCTCAACAGTGTTGCGCTCCTGCAGAACACTGCCTTGCCACTCATTCCATTCGCTGTTTTCCTAAAAATTTGAGAGTGAACAAAGGCCAGTCAGCAAGCATGAAAAGTGAGCTGAGAGTGCGAGGACACCTCATCGCAAGACTCGACTAATGGTTTTATATTCCGTGTAGAGTGGCAGAAGAAAAACTACACAGCAAGAGATTGTAATACCAACCTGAAGGTATGCCTTTAGCTGGTCATTGCTGTTACTCAACTGACCAATTTTATTTGATATTCTAGTTATGTGTCCAATATATCCGACTCGAGGGGGTTTCTTCCCAGTGGCTACTACAGTTGGCTACCTCACACAAAAGAAAATGGCAAAGAGTAACGGTTAGGTAACTGAACTTTAGACCAGTGAATTGATGGATCTAACTTGGAGGTGCCTTAAGATAACACTACGTCAAATACCAATGATCAGCTAAAACTTTGTGAACATAGCAAATGGTAATACCTGGCTATCACCTACGAGATCCGAGTCCATGTCTGAAGCGAGGAATTTTCCAATCAGATTGCATTCTCGAAGAATATGGTTAACCACCAAATCGCTCTTGTTTTCCAGACAAGAAAGTATTATAGTCTCCACTTGATGATGCAGAGCGTTATTGTATGGGTACCTTCATATGTTAAAAGTGTTTGATTATTTAAGACATAGTAGAAACCGCAACACTGAGATCAAGAATTTGAAGTTTAGCAAATGCCTACTCAAAAAATAGATCAAGGGTTCTTTTAATTATTCCTGAACTAACTAACTCCTTCTGTGCAGCTTCGCTTCCAGTTCTCAACAAAACTGCAATAAACTCCACAATCTGAAAGAAAAAAAATAGGGACACTGAGTCTAATCAAGCATAGAGACTTTATATATTAAAAAGCACTGATGCTGTCGTAGAACTAAATCTTTTGGATCAGAACCTTTAGACGATGCTTTCCAAGAGGAGGCCTGAGTTCACCATATGTTGTAGGCAATACTGTGGTGTCAGATGCTACATTGAGAAGCATAAGCAAGTCGCCTGCAGAAAAAAAAAGATATTGATCATTTAAGGCCATTGAATACGTAAACCCTGATTTTGGAATACTTGTATGAGACAGTATAAACCAAAAATAGAACTGACACCATAGCGAGTAGTGAAGATCATGACATGCAAATAGATGTTAAATTCTCGCGAATTGGAAGAAATGTCACATAAGAAAAAGGTTCACTCTGTTCCATTTGCAAATTTAGATTATGTACATCCAGTCCCAAAAGGGCGAAAGTAATAATCTTGATAGTCATGTGAAGATATTACAATCATATGATCCAACTTACTGAGTTTAGGCAGCATGGCACCAATGGTCTCCTGAGACACTGGGACAGGAGACTCGAACATATGCTGACCTCTATAAGAATTGAACATAGATGATGACACAGCTGATTTTCTCGGATCCAACAGAGAGGTTGACACTGAAAGCGAATGAACTAGACCCGATTTTGAGTGTGAGTCTTCAAAAGCATGACCAAATATCCTAGCAACGAAGCTGCAAAAACAGAGAAAAAGTTGTGCTGCCACGTGAATACTTATGTACAATATACTAAAGCAATATGAATCAGTAATGGAATAAAAGATTACAAACCCAGGGCTAGAGAGTTGTGTAGCTAAAGCTGATGGTGCATTCCGAGAAATTGCACATAATGTTTCAGCAGCATTTGCCTGAACCTCCGGAGGACTCTGATTCAAGTTGGAAAAAAATGCAATAAACTACAATATTAGATCAGAGTGAAGATGATAAAAGAAACTAGGAAAACCACATCAGATATCCTAGATTTATCAAACAGATAGTCACGAGCCTCTTGTCTTTGGGATGAATACAGAAAAGTATCACCACTTACAGATGGTTTAAGCTTGTCCACGATCATTTCAAGTAAACTGCTATCAGCCAGCCATTGCATCACATCCAGAAAGTTGGGATAGACTTGATCATCCGCCCCAACCAAGCGAACCAAGACCTAGACAGTGTCACATAAATATCATTGCCAAAATGATCTCTGAAGCCTCAACAAATTGCACTGTGTCTAACAAGCCTATTACCTCCATGATGGATGTTATTCCAATCAAATCAACCAGCTGGCAGAAAACATTTTGGTGCCCCTGTGATCATCAAAACTAACTTTAAAGAAGTGTAGCCAGTGTAGGTACCTCAACACAAAACAAATCATAACTAATTTTGCACAACAAAATAATTGCCAGCAATTGAATTGAAGAATAGTCATGTCAATCTTGTACAATGCACTAAGTCGGTAGAGATTTATCTGTCTAGACTACAATGGGAAGAAGTATGAATTCTGAGTTGTACAGTTAACAGAAAAGAAGTCTTACTCTATAATGCTCCAAAATTCCAGCAATCAGGTCAAATAAATTCCATGATATATTATTAAAGTTCTCATCTAAATTTCCAGCCACTTATAGGCTATAGTTCACCAGATTTAAGGGAGATGTACATACTTTTAGAGCTCAATGAAAATCTAATCACAAAGCTCATGAGAGAAAGAAAATAAGATTAGCATACATTGAACTAATGGTTATTACTTACTTTCACATAATTCATAAGCGCTGCAGTCTTTCTGACCATAAGGCAAATGACAACCTACGGAAAACAGAGACAAGTAAAACGCACATCCCGGAGCCTTAAGAAGCCATATAGTGTATAGATAAAAAACAAAGAAGAATCGGAAGTAGGCTAAATACTCAAACTTATGTATTGTAAGAGAGAGTACCTTGCTGAAATAGCCTGCTAGTAATGCACTATGAGGACGAGTAGGTTCCAGAAAGGAAAAAAGCAAGTCCATCAGCTGCCAGGGAAAATTAAAGCCAACAAATGAGATCTAGGGTAAGTTGGTAACCATAAAACAAATTAAAGATGCACAAAACAATAGAAAAGTATGAACAGCCATTGGCGGGTAAGGTAAAATAAATGAATGTAAAAAAAAGAGGAATACCTGTTGGTCCTCCACCAGAGCTTTTAGAATAACATCAATTTCACATGTAAATATCTCAGACGAGATGAATGGAAACCTAAAAGGAGAACAATCAATCTAATTATTAGCTAGAGATGAAAATAAGGACCAGTAAGAAGCAAGGAAGAATATATTAACTTGAAAGCACGTTTAGTATCAGAATCAGTTGGAGGTTCTTCAACAATGTAGCGCAATAGTTGCTCCACCTGAGCTTTATCCCTTAGACTGCAAACATTAATTAATTACCCAATCAATCAATAAAACCTTTCCTAGGAAAAAAAAAAAAAAAATGAAATATAAAAGACTCCTCAACTAAAAAAACTCAGCATATCTGATTCTATGAAACGGCAAATGATAAATAAAATGAAAAAAGAAGTTACAAGTTAATGAGGCGGGTATTCAAAGCCTTGCATTCTTGAATAATCTCTTCCTCATCAAGAAGCTCTTCCAAAGTGAAGTTTTCTTTGTCTAATATCGTCTCCACCTATAATCGATCGTAACATACATCAATGAAACTAACTACAAGCAAAATCCAATTTCAGAACAGAGTGAGTATATAAATATATTAGTTTCTCCAGGAAACTCACCGGAGAAGACGCAGAGAGAGACGTGAGCTTCCAAAACATGGCTGCGACTGCGAGGGAGGAGTGGAGCTGAAAAGCTTCGCCGTAGCTGAAGAAAGGTAGGGAAGCTTGGCTAGATCCGTATCAAGAAGAACCTTGCAGTGAATCTGGATAATCGCCTAATTCGCGGTGGTGTGGAGGAGTAGCGATTTCGTCTGGGAGCTGAAAAGAAAAACCCTAACCGATCAATCAAAAGAGAGAGAGATCGAAACTGATGGGAGTCGAGAGCGATGGAGAATTGGAGATCCAAAGTTTTGAACATAAACAAGGGGAAAAGTGAAAACGGGGAAACTTATTCGGCGTATTATTATTGATTATTTCTCTAATGGTTTAAAGGAACTTGAGTATGTGTTAATAAATGATTAATGATATTAAATTGCAATTTCACTAATTCATGTGTAATCGAAGGACTTGTTATTTTTCTTTGTGGATGAGTGTTGTGGTGGTAGTCACGGTGGTGTGTGAATAGTATCGTTCGTGTCATCTTAACAATGTGAACTTTGCCTCAAAAAATGTATTTATAATGTGATGTATGTTTCACCTCACTTTACATTATAAAGCTCTGGGTCACAGCTAGAAGAAAGATATTTTTTTATTCTTCTTATAAAAAACTAAAAGTACCAATGCAAAATACGTTGTAAAACTACTTTTTTTGTTTGAACAAATTTGACATTTTGTTTTTTTTTAAATAGTGCAACACCAACCGCAGGTGACTTGTGAGACATCACATTTATTGAGAAACAAAGTCAGCTCTTTTGCGTAATATACAGCGGGTTTAAACAACAAGCAAACAGTTTTGTGGATACACATTGCAAATTACACATTAACACGAACAACAAACACAAAACAAAACAATTTAATTTCAAGCCAGAAAAATAAATGGCCATCCATCAAAGAAAAACAAGAAAAGCTATTGAACGTGGTTGAATTATACATCGATGATATATTATGGAGGAAGAACACAGTAAAAGAAGACTCAACAATGCCATCTCTTGGAAGGGCTTTTAGTGGGAGAAGAAGATCCAACAACTTTCTCTACCAACTTCTTCAACCCCTTCTTCTTCTTCTTCGTTTTCTTCGAGTTATCATCTCTCTTACTCTCTTCTTCAACCTCTTCCTCCAACTTTAAACACAGCTTAAGAACTTGCTCCTCCACGTTGTTTAATCTCTCTAGCAAAGTTCCCTTTTGTGCAGTCTCTTCCATCACTTGCTCCATCGACCGACACTGAACCTTCCCTACGCTCCTCGGTGAAGAAAGATCAAGCGACGATGGTTGAGTCCCACTCGATGGAGTCGATGGGCTAGAGCTTCTCGGTGAGCTTCCTTTCATCTCTTCTAACTTCCTCACCATGACATCAATACGGTCCAATCTCGAAAGGATGGGTTCTTCTACCATAGCCATTGATGATGATAACAATGAGAGACAGACACCGTTAAAGACAAGACAGTGTATGAGAAATGCCAAACTCGTCTTCTGAAAGGAATTCGAGAATGAAGACATGAACTAGGCTATATTTAATGTTACAGCGAGAGTTAGCAAGGGTCTTACGCGTGTTATCGAACACACGTGCTGGTTCTAGCTTTCAGACACCTCTCCTGTCACATACCGCCCAACATTACTCCCATCCTTATCTAATCTAATCCCCAAAATATCCTATGGATTATGTCGGAAGTAAGATAATGTTTTTAGTTTTTTTTTCTCTTGCAAAACAATGTTAACGAACGATTTTTATTTTTTTGGGTTAACGAACCAACCAACTTTCATAATGAAAACTTGAAAAAGGTATTCATTCATACTTCATACCAAATAATATTTACTGATTTTTAATAGATCAAATAACTTTCAGTTTTGTTACTAGGCGAGATGAGGGTATATCACAGACATATATATGAGAACAAGCAAGCTAGTTTCTTGAATAAGTATATACATATTTTTGATAATGATCAATAGCTTACAAAATTCAAATGATTAAAGAATTTCGGTGTTTAATTTTTTAATAATTTTTTAAAAATGAATAATTAAAGAGTGGTTTGATCGGAGTCGGTTATCTCAACAGCCTAGTCCTGATGGGCCTAAAAGACTTAAATATATAAAGCCCATGTAAGAGTCCGTTGATTACTATTTGGCTTTATTCTGGCAAAAAAACTGACCAGGGAAGCAAACATATTTTCCGAACAATGGTGTCGTCCAAGAAGCCGAAGAACGATGGCATCAACAAAGCTGTTGGTCCTAACACAGGCAGCTCCGGTTCCAAAACGAAGAAGAGTAAGAAGCCGAACGTAAAGGCCACTGTGGAGAAGGAGACGGAGGTTTACGAGATCTCTGAATCTTCGAGCAGCGAAGCGAGACGTGATGAGCCGAAGGAAAGTAATGGTGTCGTCGTGGAAGACGCTAAGATGATTAGGTTTCCTATGAATCGGATTCGGCGGATCATGAGGAGCGATAACTCTGCTCCTCAGATCATGCAGGACGCTGTGTTTCTCGTCAACAAAGCCACGGTATATACTGACATCTCTCAACGCTGTCTAATTAGTTTTAGGAGATAATCCTAATTGCTTAGTTCGTTGAGTTTGAGATTATCATTGTGAATTAGGCATTAAAGTTTCGCAAGTTGCTAATGGTGATGAACTTTTTTTGGTTTGTGCTAATTGCTGCGTGATGGCTTTGCATTTGCTAGTTTTGATTGGTAGTGATGAAGTTTCATTCATGTGTTTAAGCTCTTTTTTATTTACTGCTTGATTGTTACAACTTACAGGTTTAGCTTTTGTAAATTTGAGACTTTATAAATATAAGAATATCATAATATTTCTCGTTTGGAAAACGAATTAAGCTTATATACCTATATTTTTTTTAAAGCATATATATCTAAATTATTATTTTTTTGTTATTTTTTTTAGCTTTCATCGTGTGTTATTTGAAATCGAGTTTCATGGTATATTAATTGTTGATTGTAATGTGAAGGAATTGTTCATTGAGAAGTTTTCTGAAGAAGCTTATGGAAGTTCTGTCAAGGACAAGAAGAAGTTCATCCACTACAAACATTTATGTAAGCTCCAGTTTCATCCCTATCTGCCTATTTGCACTAATCTGAATTAGTGCCAGATGTCAACCTTCATTACTGAATTCAATATTTGACATGTCGAAAAGCTAATGCTGATGCAATATGGTGTCTCCGTTGAGGTGTAATGTACAAGGGACAGTCAAGCCTTAAAAAGATTATTGTTCATGTCTTTAATCTGTTCTCATCACTTTAGTTGCGAAACAATCAAATACTGTTTCAATTTATTTGATGAATTGAAATCTTTTTCACTGTTTTCTTTTCTTCTCACTGGCAGCATCTGTAGTGAGTAACGAGGAGAGATATGAATTCCTTGCAGGTACTTAATATATATATTTATACTATGAAGTCTTCGTTTCTGTGGATTCCTCACGACTACTGTAATTTTAATGAAACCTGTAAACTCTTGAACTATGCAGATTGTGTTCCTGAGAAACTAAAAGCAGAGGTCGCCTTGGAGGAGTGGGAAAGAGCCATGGCAGATGTAGGCTGAAACAAACCGACCTGAACCTTTAGGAATGTTATTTCCTGGTCAATTGGTTGCATCTGCCCAATCTTCAACTTCTTAATATCCATAATGACATTGCACATAGTCTATTTCTAGAATGTATTACCTTTTTATATATACTAGTTCGAGTTTGCAAGAGTTTTCGGAACTATAAGGTTTTACTCGTAGTATAATTTGTGGCTACAATGAAATTTTTCATCGGCAATAACAGATACTATTTCCCGGTTCGCGGGTAACACATAACGCAAGTATTTTTTTCTGGACTCACGAGAGCTAACACGGATGATAGGATGTGAGGGCAGTCATTGTCTAAAATCAGTTTACACTTTACAGGATGGAAGGACGATAGAGAAGGCTTTCAAGTAAAGTTATGAGATATACGTTGAACAATTAAGGAAAAAATAATGTTTCACTAGAGCGGTTATGTGGAATCCTTTTATGACATTTAAGGAACATAAAGTTACGACCTATAAGAGCATGTTTATCACTACAGAGGTTTATCTTGCTTGTTTCGGATCTTAATCTTGTTCCTGTTATGGTTAAATGTTCTTGTTGTTGCTGTTCTGAAATATTTAAATTGCTCTGTGATTTGTTTTAGGCAGAGAAGAAGACGAGAGAAAGGCTGCCTTGCCTTTAAATATAGGACGAAGCTCGGAGAAGTTCTTAGGATTGCGAATGCTTGTGGAGCCATTACATGAAAGCTCTGTGATTTGATAAATGGCGAAAGGTCTGTGATTTTCAGAAGAAGAGTATAGTGGTTGTTGTAGTCTTGTGGAATCACGAGATCATGTTGTTGTTGAGATCATGTACGTGTCTGTGTTTGTCATTGTCTTGTGGAGTCACGAGATCACGTAAGTGTGTGTCTTTGTCATTGTAGTCTTGTGTCACAACTTTGTAAATCAGTAACATTCTTCTATTTCTCAACATATTGAAGTCTCCATCCTCTTTCTTGTTTATTATCTCACTTTCTAAACCATTCTCTTTCTAATTAAGAAACCACCAATAAACTCTTTTAGTTAAGTGTCTCTTAGCAAAGTTTTTTATCTTCATTTTAATAGTTAAAAACTAATTAAGGTCCACTTAAAAATTCCTTAAGGGTTGTAGCAATAAACATGCTCCCTTTACAAAGGACGAGAGAGAAGGTTGTTATGAGGATATACGTTGAACAATTAAGTTCAAAATTAAGGAAAAACTAATGTTTAACTAGAGATTTATGTGGAATCCCTTTAACAAATTCAAGGAACATAAAGCTACGACCTATAGTGCAGCATCATGATTATTTCGATAGATGTGAATTGAGATTAAGGAAAGGAAATAAACCACGCAACATAAGTGAATAACACGCAAAATATAACCGCAGGAATGTCACCATTTTCATAACAAAATATTCAAAACAGTTCAAAATTAAAAAGCAAAAAAACAGAAAGCTTAAGGGGATAACAAGTAACTCCGCCACCTCCGATCAAGAACCCAATTACGAGAAGAGAGTGCTGACGGAGACGAAACAAAGCTGCAAGCCACCGAAAACCAAACTATTGAAAGAAAACTAAAATAAAACTTCGATTCATCTGCGGATGATAGAGATTTGAAGGTTGAACTTTACTTGGCACCCTTCTTGACGGCAGCCTTGGTCACCTTGGCTCCAGTTGGGTCCTTCTTGTCAACGCTCTTGATGACACCGACTGCAACAGTCTGCCTCATGTCCCTAACAGCGAAACGACCAAGAGGTGGGTACTCAGAGAAGGTCTCAACAACCATGGGCTTGGTCGGAGTCATCTTGACCATACCAGCATCACCATTCTTCAAAAACTTGGGCTCCTTCTCAATCTCCTTACCAGAACGCCTGTCAATCTTGGTGAGGATCTCAGAGAACTTCACGGCAATGTGGGAAGTGTGACAATCAAGCACTGGGGCGTAACCGTTACCAATCTGACCAGGGTGGTTCATGATGATAACCTGGGAGGTGAAGTTAGCAGCACCTTTAGCAGGGTCATCCTTGGAGTTGGATGCAACATACCCACGCTTAAGATCCTTGACAGCAACATTCTTAACGTTGAATCCCACATTGTCACCTGGAAGGGCCTCCACAAGAGACTCGTGGTGCATCTCAACAGACTTGACCTCAGTGGTCAAACCAGAAGGAGCGAAAGTCACAACCATACCAGGCTTGAGCATACCAGTCTCAACACGACCCACTGGCACCGTTCCAATACCACCGATCTTGTAAACATCCTGAAGTGGAAGACGGAGGGGCTTGTCTGATGGCCTCTTGGGCTCGTTGATCTGGTCAAGAGCCTCAAGGAGAGTTGGTCCCTTGTACCAGTCAAGGTTGGTGGACCTCTCAATCATGTTGTCACCCTCGAAACCAGAGATGGGGACGAATGGGATTTTGTCAGGGTTGTACCCAACCTTCTTCAAGTAGGATGACACCTCCTTGATAATCTCATCGTACCTAGCCTTGGAGTACTTGGGGGTAGTAGCATCCATCTACAAAACAATACATTTATAAGCATTTAACACTATAATAACAATAATAAATGAAAAAAAAATGAAAATCTATTTCTCACCTTGTTACAGCAGCAAATCATTTGCTTAACACCAAGTGTGAAAGCAAGAAGAGCATGCTCACGAGTCTGACCATCCTTAGAGATACCAGCCTCAAACCCACCAGTGGTAGAGTCAATAATCAAGACAGCACAATCAGCCTGGGAGGTACCAGTAATCATATTCTTGATGAAATCACGATGACCAGGAGCATCAATGACGGTGCAGTAGTACTTGGTGGTCTCAAACTTCCAAAGAGCAATGTCAATGGTGATACCACGCTCACGCTCAGCCTTAAGTTTGTCCAAGACCCAAGCGTACTTGAAAGACCTCTTGTTCATCTCAGCAGCTTCCTTCTCAAACCTCTCGATGACACGCTTGTCAATACCACCAAGCTTGTAGATCAAGTGACCAGTGGTTGTTGACTTCCCAGAGTCGACGTGGCCAATGACCACAATGTTGATGTGAAACTTCTCTTTACCCATGGCTAGTAAATCTGCAGATATTTAATAATATTAAAAAACGATCAGTACTGTCATCAATTCTGATTAAAAAAATAAAATAAAAACAGATAAATGTAAATATCAGATCTAATCTTTCACACAAGAATGAATCATAGGAAGCTGCTATCGGAGTCAAACCGATTTCTACCACAAAAAAATGATTGTGGTGCTCTATCAACTGAGCTAAGCGAGCTATAAAAAGCATAACGAATTCAAGAGGTTTTAAACGAAACGATCCGAGAGGTTCGACGACTTTAACACAAGACGAAGAGAACATCGGATGTTCGTATGCTACCTCTTGAATCGCACATTCACAATACGAATCACATAGATCTAAACTCAAATCTATAAACGATTAATAACGAAACAGTTAGAGAATCTAAACGAATCTTAATATGCTAAGAGTATTGGAATAACAAACAAAGTAAAAGGTGAGGAAGAGGGGAGTACCTCAGGTTATAGCGGCTAGGTTGAAGAAAGGATCGAGAGATGGAGGATAATGAGAGAGGAGAGACGTGTTTATATATGTGGTGGTGAATAGAAAGGGAGGTTAGGGTTTTAGAGATAATTTTGTAGGGAAATTACGATCGTACCCTTGTTCAGCCGTCAATACTTTATTATTCTGTGGTTGGGCCTTTGGGATTGGTCATCATAGCTTCGGGCTCAAGTTTTTATTTAACCATCCAGAATGTTCGATTCTAAAGTGGATTTCAGTTCACACTACCAAGCAATCCTTTATTTTATTTTTTTCAACTTTTACAATAGCAAAATAAAGACATCATCTAGCTTTCATAATTTTTTTTTTTAAAAACACAATTTGATTATTCTCAAATGCGATTTAGATATTTTAAAGTAAAGGCTACAGTTCTAACATAGTTGTATATACAAAATTGGGCAATACAAAAGGGATACACACAACAAAGGCATTAAGAACTGATGCGGACATCAGATAGAAAATGATATACATTACGAGAACTATATATTATACATATTATAAGCTGTTCAATGATGATAAATGTAACTTAAACCTAGTTCTAAAAAAATATAGGGAAATCCTCCATATACAACTATCACTGACGATCAAACCAGGGTGGAGGACCAAATGTGACAATGAAGAAAGGATCGAACAATACACAATCACTAGGTAGAGACCCGCGCCTAACGCGGGGCAAAACTGTTAAAAATATATTTTACTATACAGAAATAGTTAAAAAAATATTTTACTACACATTTTTGTTCATAATACTATCGGACATCATATGAAAATTTTATAAATGTAATGTTTAAGTATATAGTAGGTTTAAATATACTTGTATTGAGCAATATCTTAATATTAAACTGTTGAATTGTAAGAAGAGGAGGACTAATTTGATAACCAGTAACTATGAACTTCTAAAAGTAATTTGATAAGAGATGGAATTAATATATGAATAAGCTGTAATATTTTGTTTTATCCAATTTATCATGTTTTACTACTGGTAGGATCAGAGTTGCATTCATAATCTCGGCAAGTACAAATCTGGAGAATTACAACGTGATTTCAAATATGATTATCTGTTAAAGCAATATATATTGTTTGCTATGTTAATATTCAATAAATTAGTTTCTCGAAAGTATCGGTATTATTGATTTTAAATCGTTTAACTTAATATTATGTTGGAACTTTAAAGTTGTCGACACAATCATGCATTTAATGGCTTAATGGGAATCATACATTTAATGGCTTAATGGTCATTATTATATCTTATGTTATATGTTATAATGACCATCAGTGGCAAATATTGTAAATTCTCTAGTAATTAAAGACCTATTAAAAGTGATGGCTAAGGTGATTTGTGGTGTTGCCACATCAGCCATAATGGCAAAACTGTTAATAAATTACAAAATCAAGGTTTATTATCCTAATTGCTTCTCCTTTAATAATAAAGGGATTAGTAACTGATGCATACATCAAAATGATTGGTAATACGAGAACCATAGATCATACATATTATAAGCTATTTAATTATATGATAAATGTAGGTTTGGAAAAAAGATTGGAAGTCCTCTATATACAACTACCATTGATAACTTGATATGATCAAACCATGGCGGAGAAAATGTGATCAATGAAGAAAGGTTTGCTATAAACTTTGTGCTCGACTACAGACTGAATATCCTCAGTTCTCATATAGCTTACAAATGAACTGGTTATGAGTTATGACACCAACAAGTAACAAAAGTGTGTAAGCAAGAATCGAAGAAAACACAACCTAAATCTAAATGAACGACACTGACCCAATAAGTTCACTTCCTTCAGTTTATGCAAATGCATTTGAAACAAAAACTGGTATGAGTGAACAAGTTACTGAAGGGTAAGGAAACTTTCATCACTTCACTTCCTCTTTCACTTTCTCTCTTAACTCAAAACCAAGCACTGATCCAACTGTGAGAAAGCAGAATCTCAAACCCTCTCTACTCAAGATCGCTATCTGTTCTAGCTTCTTCATCGCTTTCTTCACACAAATCCTCAGGAGGATCAAACACAACCATCCCAGGGAAAAGCTCCAAGAAATCATCTTTCACTCTCTCTCGTAACTCAGGGTAAGGAACGAGTCCTTTCAGAATAACTCGAAAAGGCAGAGACAGAGGCGGGTCAGGAGAATCTCTCATCTCTTCATACAATCTCATTGCCTCCACAGGAAGTTCATTATTCAAAAACGCTCTAACAAGATCTCCAAACGTATGCTGGTCAAACAAAACTCCTTCACTCTTTAAATCTCCCCATACTTTTTTGGTCTCATCCACTCTCCTGTTTCTTGCAAGCATCATGAGCATGTCTCTGTAAAAAAACATGTCTGGTCTGTACCATATCTCTCTCCGCACAACCTCATAGAGCTGAAAAGAATACAGAAGGAGAAAAAAAACATAAAAACCAAAATTCGATTTCAAATAAATGTGGCAAAAGTCTTCTCATAAACCCTAAACACTAAACCTTAAACCCTAATCCCTAAACCCTAACATTAACACCATCAACTCATAAAGGTCTTAGCTTTACACAAGATTTAACCTTTTAAACATAACCCATCAAACGAAAGAGACGAATTTGCATTTTACAGCTAAAATATAAACAAAAAACCGAAACTTTATTCCAAAACCCAATTGAAATTGATAGGCAAGTTTTGGAGAGGTTTTTCATTGACCTTCATACAGAGGAAAACTTGGTCTTGTCTCTGAAACTCGAAAAGAACGGAAACGAGATCGGATTTTAGGAGGCGAGAGACGTGGGAAGCAATGAATCTATCGAGACGGACGAGTTTGGTCTGAAGACGCTTGAGCTCCTTGGCGGCGATTAAACCTTCTTTGCTAATTTCTTTCTTCCGTCTCCATATCGATAAGCTGGGACTCGAAGCAGGTCCTGATAGATACGAACGAACAGTGAGATCACTGTCTGTGAAACTAATCTGGCGAAGGAAGATTTGAAGAATCGAGTGTTTAACTACTCTACGCAGAATCAACATGTTCTTGATGATGGTTTATTGTTGTTGTTAGCTAATGTTCGTTTGATTGATTATAATGCGAACATATTTGGGCCGAAAAAACATAATTTCGGCCCATTAAAGGCCCATATAGGCTCAAACACAAAGTATGGTCTTAAAGAAGGTTTGATCATATGCGAACAGATCTAAGTTCAATAAGCCTAATTTAGACCGGCCCATAAAGGCCCAAAATAAGAAGCAAAGACATGATTTTTCAATTGGTTTTGCTTTTTTTCTTCTCTGGTCTGGTGGGAATTGATTTGGAAGAAGGTAAGACGATTCATACACATCTAAGATCCGTTTTTTGATATTTTGTTTCGGTGAATCTCGCTTTCGTCTTGGTTTTAAGATTAGATTTGAATTGAATTTGATTGCTTTCACATCGGATCCAGAACTGGTGAACTAGAAAAGGATTTGGGATTTGATACGATGAAGCTTGGTGCAAGGCTTATTGCTCTTATACTTGTGCTCTCTTTTACGATTGTATTGACGAAAGCGGAAGTCATTACATTGACCCCTGAAACTTTCTCCGACAAGGTAATGATCTGAAGCCTCCTTTTGGATGAACTCAGCTTTTGTATTAGATAAGATTTGTGATGTTGTTCTGTCACTTTTTTCATGATGCGAATTGAGATTTGATTAGCGTGACTGTCTTAAGATCGCTTGGTCACAAGTGTAGTTTCTGTCTGTCTGAGTAGAGATTCTTATTTGAGTTTACTCTGACTTCTCGCTTAGATTCTAGTCTCTAGTCTTGTTCTGTAGTTTGGTGATTAGATCGGTTTTGTACACAGGAAGCATCGTCCTATCTCTTGCTGTTTTGTATACAATAACAGATGTGATGTTTGACTCTCACTCTCTTTGTTTTGTTGGTTCAGGTGAAGGAGAAGGATACTGCTTGGTTTGTTAAGTTCTGTGTTCCTTGGTGTAAGCACTGGTTAGTTTTTCTAGTCTCATGACTAAGTGATTTTGGCTTTTTTATTCACTTTTGCTGATGAGATTGGATATGAGTACTCTGTCAGCAAGAAACTGGGGAACTTATGGGAAGAATTAGGAAACGCAATGGAAGGTGACGATGAGATTGAGATTGGTGAAGTAGATTGTGGTAAAAGCAGAGATGTTTGCACCAAAGTTGAGATTCATTCGTATCCAACGTTTAAGCTATTTTACAATGGAGAAGAAGTTTCCAAATACCAAGGTAAAAACTTTGATTTACATGAACCGGTGGTTATATAAGATTTAATATTTTTCTCCAAACAGATTAGGCACATTTTATTTGGATGAACCTGTATTCTTAGCCTATTCTTTGAGCATAACTTGATATTCTTTTCTCATGCATATATTTATCTGAACGTAGGTAAAAGAGACGTTGAATCGCTCAAGACGTTTGTCGTAGAGGAAACTGAAAAGGCAGCAGAGAAAGCACAGCTTGAAGACAAGGAACTGTGATTCATTCCCTTTGCTTTTCAGTTTTGCTTATGCTGTTGTGAGTTTCACCACTTAGTTAGATAGGCATGGTGGCGGAATAGATCTTGGAGAAGTAACTTTTGATTTATATGCTTTACAAACCCATACTGGTTTCAGTTTTAGTACGAGACAAAGATCATTACACTATTCTGTTGTATGTTCGTTTACGAGCAATTGCATTTGTGCTTTGAAATTTTATCTGGTGGATACCATAAGACATTCTCAAACCTTGACGTCACGATTAATATTGAGATAGACTCCAGAGTGTTATCTTGTATTGGAGCCTCTCAGTTTCATGCTAACACAGCCTACATATGAGGAATGCCAATTCCGGTTCTTTTTCATGCATTAAAGTCACATGTTTTCTTCATGAACAAAATATTCAGCTTATTGTCCATCAACTGATATAGTGGGACAGAAAAAAGCATCTTCAATTTTTAACAATAATACGTTGCAATCTAAAGAGAACTAATTTCACTACATTTTCTCCTTTTAACAATGGTCAATTTAGACCTCCAACGCCCAACATATCTTAGGAGTCTCAAGCAAAATCCACTTTTCTTGAAAAGTTAGATGAGCCAAACGAGATTTTAATCATCAGTTTCAGAATCAACAACTTGTAAGATGTTGAGAGCCGAAGAACCAAGGTTCATCCCACGAACAACACCTCCATATCCTACCTTGATTCTGTGGCACATCAACAACACTGAGTCCCATAGCGCTGTTCGTCCCTGTTCAAGTAACAATTTCAGAAACCCTTTCCACATCCATATATCCATAGGCACTTAATACATATTATTCATCGTTTACCTGAAGAGTAAATTGCACCTTCTTATCCCAGTACAAGGCAAAGGTCGGTGGGCATTGCTTGTCTACAGCAAGTACACATGCACCGGGATGGAGGACAGACGGTACACCTGATACCACTGCTATGTACTTCTCTGGGAATCTCTCCTTTGGAGGCAAAACCCCCAAGAATAACGGGTTCCTGCTCGACTGAGTCCCTGTATAAGAGCTTGGGTCCAGATGTAACATCCATTTCGGGTGTTCCAAGTAGGCACAGAACAAGTACAACATCAGATGAGAATCGGTTGGAGGCTCAAGACTCCATTTCTTGTTTTTTTCACGAGCATCTGCCCTTCCATTGTATTCATAGTTCTTCACACAAGTTCCTTCCGCAAGCTCTGCAAAACCGCAACAAAATAGAGTAATGATCCGTCAACTAAATATTTGAATGGAATTTTTCTTTCTTTTTGACGTTTGATACCTCTGATTCTTTGCACCGTGTAGTCTGCTGGAATGCTGCTGCGTGGAAGTAAACCCTTGACCCACTCTCCTTTCATTAAACCCTGAAGCCTCTGATGTTCGCTAATGGCATCCACACATTCCTGCATAACGGGTATTAGTGCCGCTTGCTGTTGCTGTTGCTGCTGTTGTTGCTGAAACTGCTGGTTCTCTGTACACAGCTTTTCTGCAAATGGTAGAAGAAACATTTAGCAGCTATCTGGAGACCAAAACATTAGCAAAATCGAATGACGTGATATCATCAACTCATCTCAGATATCCAACCGATTAACAACTCTTAGTTTCAGTGATTTATTAAGAAAAATCAATAATAATTTGAAAACAACAGAACCTCACTTCTTTTGGACACATAACCTATAAGTTTTAGTAAAGTTACTTACGCATGGTGGCATCAATAGCCTGTACAAGACTAGCGCGCAATTGGTGAAGAATAGCGTCTTCATCGAGAGAATAAGATGGCTGCCACGCTTTTGTACGATCAGTTGGTAATGCAGTAGGAGCGGTTCCATTTGTTGACAAATCACTTCCAACTTGAGCAACGGTGACAGTAACACCTAGCTTCGATGCTGTTTGCATTACCTACACACATTAAAACCCTGTAAATAAATGTTCACGGAAACATAAGGAAACAAGAAATTTACTGTGTTTATCAACTCATTCATCGGCAGACAAGCATTGAAAGAGCAGTGTTTATTTAGAAAAGGACTCTAACATTATACCTGAATATGACTAGTTTCTATCTTGCTAAGCAAAGGCTTGAGCAAAACTGAGGAACACCACTGCCTTAGCCTGTCACGCCAGTATTCTATCTGAGGATACACACCTAGGTGCCTGAAACCTTCGATAGCCTGTTCTAAGGACATGGGTGTGGGGAAATCACCCTCTCCTTTCTTTGGTGGAGTTGTAAATTTCTGAGCACCAGGAGACATCCTAACAGTTCTTACTGGTGTACTCCTAGTAGTCCCAGACATACCAGCTGAACCACCAACAGTACTCGGACTAGCCATTGCAAAACTCCCAACTGTTGGTGGAGGAGTCCGCACCTTCCCAGCTGACTCAGTGATTTTCTCATCTACTTCTGCCAAAAGCTGCTCTAGCTGCTCTTCTGTGGCGATGTCTCTTGCATAATTTCGTCTACCGGACCAAGGACTAGACACAGCCTTATCATGACCAGAGGAAGCTCGGTTCGAAGAAGCTGGTGAACTAGAAGGGACAAGATACAACGACGGCGAACCCATCTGTTTAGAGGGAGTGCTAAACGGACTAATCTGACTCCCACCACGAGAATTCAGCTTATCACCAGCACTGTTAGACTTATGCGCTGAGCCAGTAAGATTCTGATGGATTGGGACAAGCGGCTCTAATGACCGTGTTGGTTTCAATGCGGGACGACTCTTGGGAGATTCCGATACACCCTGCTCACCTTTTTTCTTTATTCCTAAAAGCTCAAGCTGACGGCTTGTTAAAGAAAACTGATCTTGGGTTTCTTTACTTTCTGGTTTAGCAGCAAACTTAGCTCTGTGCAGAGATATCCCTTTGGAAAAAGCCATCATCGCTCCAATACAAAACAAAGCCACCAATCCCTGCCACGCCTTTACAGTAACATCTGAAATCAATAATTCGAATTTTAGATACACTGAGAAAACAAAAAAAAATACATAAAAGGAGAAAAAAAAGGAAAGCTCTAATGAACAAATGTAACTCACAAGCTGCCTCTTGTGATATCCTCCCGAATGTTAAAGCATTAGTCAATCGTTTCTCCCTGCAACCATGAGATTGAACAAACCAAATATCATTCCCACTACATAGTCTCATCATCGTGACAGATCTTTCCCAGATTTCGATACATAAGGTGGAAACACACACTAAGCCCTAACAAATGGAGCAGCATACAACCCTAAATCACAGAAATCGAAAAGCGATTCATAAGAGCCTAAATCACAGCAAAAGCAAAAAAACACTCTAAACCCTAGATTCCGAGAGATATTCCGAAACCTAGATTCAAATACTTAAACAACGCAACTCTAAGTGGCAATGCTTCACTACATTTCGAAGTTCAAGCTAGATTGATCGCACGTACCCAGCCATGAAGGAAACGAGAGAGAAAACGGAAGCTGTAGAGAGCACGAATATAAAGAAAAGGACGGATTTCGAGGGACGGAGGCTGTTAGCGGTGGACGCGGCGGAGAGAGCAGGGTTCCGGTATACAGAGAACTTAGACGGCTTGGGAGAGGGGGAAGAGCCCTGCGACGAGATGTTAACATTCCTCCTCGCGTTAGAGTCCATGGCAGGGATTGAGTTTTCTCGAGAAAACCCCCAAAGAGGAGTGAGGAGAGAGGCGAAGAGGTTTTAGGGCTCGTTGGATTTTCGCGGCTGCTCCTCCGCGCCTAATGTTTCCTTTTGTTTGTAATTATTTTTATTTCGGCCCAACATTAAGCTAAAAGCCCAAAGACTCTACAAAGAAGGAGTTTGGGGTTTCCGCTAATATCCCCGTACTTATAAAACGATCAGATTACCCCCCGAAAAGATTAATTGTCATTACTAGGCCTGGGAGTTTTTAACTCAACCCGAAATACCGACCATAACCTGAACCGGAAAAACCGAAACTGAATCCGAACTGTTTTACAAAAATATCCGAACGGGACTTATGAGCTTACTACTTTGGACTTTGGTTATATCCCGAACCGAACCGAAATCCAAATTAAGATCCGAAGATATCGAAACTAGTTAAATATGTTAATGTTTTAATATATGTTAAGGTGATTTAGACATATTAGAGTATTCAAAATATTTTTGTAGTTTGTTTTATTTGTTATTTTGAATACATTTTAGTTAATTTAGATAGTTTAACTAATTTTTAATTAGATTTGTAAATAATTTATATATTTTGGAAAAAGAATTGTCGATTTTTGAGGTTTTAAAAAAATTACTTTTGAACGATTTTAAACATTGGTTAGATCCGATCCGAACCGAACCCGGAAGGAACCAAACCGAACCGATAATTAGTAAAAACCGAATGGTACTTATGAACATAACACCGAATATCTGAAAATCCGAATAACCCGGACCGATACCGAATGGGCCACCGAACGCCCAGGCCTAGTCATTACCACACCTTTAAATCGAGGTTATGTAACTACTTTTTATCATGTATATACTCATATTACTCTCTCTCATTCGGACAATTCTTTCAAATCTATTATATTAAAAGAGAAGTCATGACTCACTTCATGTGTGATTTTTCAGTTTAGACCATCCTTAGAAATTTTATATAAATTTACAAAACATCATTATAATATCTTTTCATATCTTTAATTTTTATTTGAAATACAAATAAATAATTTTAAGAAAATTCTAACAAAATCTTTTAAAAATCTTATAGAATCTTTTCAATATATAGTTTCAAAAATTATTTGATTAAAAATTTAATTATCATAGAATATAATTAAAATTTAATTCATTTTTTAACAAAAAAAATAAAATTATGTAATATACTTTTAACAATATCCCAAAATTTTGTTTATGTATTATGTAGGTCCAATATAATTTACCTTTTTATATATTTAAAATTTAGAAATAAAACAAAATATATAAATTAGTAATGTTACATAATAATGTTTTAAAAATTGTTACAAAAATACAAATTTAGAAATTTTAAATTAATAATATTATAAGCTACATAAATATTATTATAAAATTAGATAGTATATACAATCAAATTATATTTATTTATTGATAAATTTTACTCCCTCTGTTACTTAATATATGATGTTTTGGATCATAGTACAAAAATTAAGAAATTTACATTCTTTTACAAAAGTATTTTTAAAGATATAATTTTATAATCATTCGAAAAATTATTAAAAAGAGTATAATTTTATCGGTTGAACAGTTTCCAATAAAGTTAAAGATAACTTTAAAACCTCAAAATATACCTTAAAATCTCAAAACATCTTATATTTTGAAATAAAATAAATCTTATAAAATATCATCTATTTAAAACGGAGTGAGTATTAGATAATTTCAAATATTTTCGTATTAAAATACCCGCACGGTTGTGCGGGTCGAGATCTAGTAGTTATTTTAAAGCTTTTGTCACAAAAAACCCTCAAAATATAAAAAGACCAAAATATATTTTTTTTTTGAAATTTGTAATATTTATTTTTCAAAATTTGAAATCCTAAATCCAAAACTCTTATCTTAATCTAAATCCCAAATCTATATTAGTTAATCCAAAGATATAAATGTATACTAGATTTTTGACCTACGCTTAAAAAGCGTGGGTACTACTTTTGTTGTTTTATCTACAGATGGATCGATAAATCTTTTGCTTTGAAGATATAAAATGTCACAGAATCAAAATCAAATTATTTTGCGGGTATGAAGAAATTTTTGTTTTATAATGTCTCATACAATTTTTTATGTTTGTAAATAAATTAACAATGGTTGTACCTAAAATGTGTGCTTGAGAAATATTGTATATTTAACAATTAAATGGTCCATTTTTTTTAGTTTTGTGATTAATGCGTAAAATCATTTAGTTACAAAATTTCAATCGCTCAGTCCGACCCACGACGGGTTGAGTACTTTTTTCTACTCAAAAATTTGAATTGTCTCATCCGAAAAGAAAATATATTTTTAAGTTTTTTTATAAAATTTGGAAAAGAATCATTCCACTAATGAAACCCATTAGTATATAATTTTTAGGCCAAAAAAAAATCATATTGTCATTAATGAAAATAAAAATTTGTTCATATCATTAAGTGTATAATTGTAAAACATAAAAAAATATGTTTCTGATTTAATGGTATTGATTTATCTTTTAATAAAAAAATATTTTAGTCATTTTTATTTTTGAAAGTTATTTTTGTAAAAATAAAATTAAAAAAAAATTATCTAAGAGAATTTCTCTTTCTATAAATATGAATGTTCATGTCACAAAAGAATTCATTGATTATAGTGTTATTGAACACTACAATAAGGTAGCCATGGTTAAAATGGGTTACACTAGCAATTTCAAGCTAAGTAATTCAGAAAAACTCCAGAGGACCTGAGACTGAGGCAGGAGGATCTATCACCATGCGGCTTGCTTTTCCGTCTGCGTAAAGCTGAGGTAACGTGTTGGCTTCTCTGGCGGTAACGCCTTCTGCAGTCCACAATGTAACATGTGGCCATTCGTTCTTGCAGAGTATGGTCTCTCCGTCCACAGATCCGACATGGGCTGTAAAAGCAGCCATCTTGTCGTTGAAGATGAGCTCGGTTAACTCTACGAGTACCTCTTTGTTTAAATGCTGACCGTATCTGGCTACAGCTGCTACTCCGTGGCTTCTCTTGTGGGCAAGTGTCACGTGTGCCCGTTCAAGTTTTTCTTCTATGCTCTTTTTTTTTCCCTCTAGAAAAGATCTCATTGTTGGGTTTGATGCGGCCAGCTGTTGACAAAAACAAAAACTATCTTTTGAGTTTTATGGATCTTGTTGGTTACCTTTTTAAGAAGACTGTGGACTTGAGTTACAGGCAATTTGATGGCAGCGAATATAAAAGACCCATGTTTTGTTTTCTCTGAACTTGGTGGTTTGTATTCACCCTTTTCGATTCTTTTTAGCTCTTCTCGCACTTGCTGAACCGCAGACTCAAACGGAACCTGAAAGAAGCAAACCACAAAACAAACACATCATATGCGCATCCTTTCTCCTTATACTATTGTATCATGTACTGAGGTAAATCTAAGCACTAAGCCTAGGAATCGTGCATTTTTGAGCCATCAGTGACAAGGGCATATATTACCTGAACAGAGTTGAGATACTCCGAATGTGCAGCTAAAGTATCGCACAGCTGTTTCTCCCATTTAGTCCATTCCGCTGCATCTGTTCCTTTTGCCGACTCAAGTCTACAACAAGAAGCATAAGAAGAAAAATCTAAAGGTTAGAAACGACCAAACCAAAGCTAAATCTAAAGAGAAGAAGCAAAAAAAAGACTGTAACAACAAGAAATTATAACGTCTGTGACCACACTTATTCGTAAGGTATCTCTTGAAACATGATTCAAGTACATCTAATCACAGAGTAAACAAACATAAGTGCTTTTGATGTGTTCCTCATCAGTTTTTGTTATATTTTCATTGCAGACAGTAGTTCAAGATACTTTGTTACAGATTTTTCACAAAATACTGCAGATGAATATAATTCAACTCATGAAAATGGTAGTGTTGACTACCCACCTTTTATGCCTTCTACTGTGGAACTGGAACAAGTTAATGCCTTCCTCAAGAATCAATTTAACAGGATCAGGTAAAGGACACCTGTAATATGCACAAATAGAAGTTAATTAACTGGTTTAGCAACCAAAATGGATACCAAGTTTGTCATCCCTCGTGTACTGTACAAAAAAATATACATGTATAATCTCAACAGTGGCATCTTGACGAGGGAGTCAAAGCGCTCAATCAGTTCAGCTACAAATTCTTTGCGGTTCTGAAAGTTTAAAAAGACAGTTCAAATAAATTTGAGATCCAATCATGGATTTTGCTTAAAGACAGTTAGGCCTATGTTAATTTACCTTTCCCTCATAAAGTTGGTAAAACATCAATAACACATTGCTTACATTCGCAGATGTCTTGTCGAGATTCCCCTGACAATATTCATTTCGTATGAAAGGAAAAACACCTTGTTAAGCAATACAATGTTGTGGTGAAAGTTGGATGACAGACTGTGTATAGATGCAGTTGCATACCGGATGGTCAACTCTTTGAAGTACACGGAACATGAAAACAGCCAAGGCATCAAGTGAATATGGGTTTGAATAAGTTCCTGTGCATTCACAAGGGGCCATAAAAATGTAAAAAATAAAACAATTGCAGAGAACACATAAGATGAGCCAAAGCAGAAAAGCATTACATAATGGATGCGTATTTACATACCTTCAGAATCAGTAACGACTGGAACTGCAGTAGCCTTAGTTCTCCGGCACATTTCTTCAATCTAATAAGAAAACAAATAATTATACTAAAACCAGACTTGTTAAGACGCACAGAAAAGTGGAAAGATATCAGGTCAGCGACTTAATATTTGATATGGGTACTCTCAACAAGATAACAAGACTTCCACAACTATATCAAATAATTTTTTTTCCAGTAAACCAAGTAACAGTGTTATGGTCTCTCAAAAGTATCCTTAGTGGCCATTAGGCAACAAAGGAAACTAAACACGACAATATTTGCAATGTTTCTTTAAGAATCTAGTCGATAATAATTAATAAGCCGATATTACTCTCAGGGAACTCATAGGTAAAGCTGAACCCCGAAATGCTAGCTTATAAAAAGAGGGTGCACATGGTAAATTACATGTATCCAGATATCTTCATTTGGGGCATTTTTGTCAGCCAACATAATTGATTGTGGCTTTTTACGAAGTTCATCAGCAACCTTTGGCCAATATTTTCCTATCCAGCATGTAGAATATTACATGAGGTGGCATAGAAAAATTGAGAGGCCATAACAGTTTTGACAAGATCCTACATCTTTACCTTTGACAAGATCTCCCATCAGACTATGCACTGGCCGATCATCTCTTAAGCCACCTGGGGCGTTCTATAACTCCTTACAAAGAGCAGATTTAGCACTTCCAGGAATTCCTGAGAAAACATTAAAAATTGCAGAAATCAAAGGGAAAGAGGGAATCTTAAAGCAACTGAAATCCAATCATATACTGCTCTCACTTTGGTCAGGATTTAAAAAAAAAAAGTTGAATATTTTCCAATTTATTATTATTTGAATAACGAACACAATCAACTAAGTTCTCTCAAAAGCTGAAAATGACTACCATCATCAATAGGTTCGATATAAAAAATTGCCACAAAAATGAAGTAGAACATGCAACCAGAATAATACCGGGAAAGAATACAATTGACCCCTCATTCTTCTTGACAGATTCTTGCACAGCTGACTCATGAGTAGCTGGTGTCACTCTCTCTTTCTTCACAAGATCGCCTTCTTCATCTAGATCACCGTCAGCAAGTGCCAAGAAATCCTCAGCTCTCACTATATTCCCAGCAGAACCTATCAAAGCCTGATTCTCTGGGCTCCTTTCCGCGTACTGCTCAAGCAATGGCTCAGCTTCGCTTAGATATAATGATGAAGATAGCTGATTATTCCCACATTTTTTATTATGTGAGCAGTCCTGAACATTTGAAAAGAGATGAAAAATGTTAAACCTTGTTGCGAGGATTTTAATCAACAATCAAAAAGCAGAAAAAACATTGAAAGAAAGGCAGTATGCAGTAGGTTATACATTTGGTAAGGAAATAAATTCCAAAAGCAGTAATATATAAGCTTAGTCTATATGTGTAAAGTGATTCTGGTACCATTCATCAAGCATCTTGCACAGTCTTTTTGCTTTCCACCTGAAGTACCCCATTTTTTCATTTTCCTGGATACAGATACAACCAAAACACTTTTAAATAAAAAAATCAAATTACATCTCGACAACATCAAGAATCCCCAATATCTCCACAACGCTGCTCCTTCCTTTTAGATACACATTAATAACATAATAAACAAGCCACATGTACTCTCCCCATTGTGACTACAATTCAAGGTATGTCCATCACTCTCTATATCTACATATGCATAGGCAAAAAACAGCTAACCTAAGGTAGGAGGCTTTATAAGATGCTGGCCCCTCCTTAAATAGAATTGATAAGCCATTGCGGATCAGAAAGGTTCTCAATTGTCAAAGAATTGAAGACATGCCCAGCATCACGATAAAAATGCAGAGAAAGAGGTTGAAAAGTAGCTGATATATCGGTCCCAGAAGACCCTGAGAAAAAAATTACCTTGTACGTGAGGAACTTCAGTTTGATCATTAAGTTAGCATCATCATCATCCAAACCATCCTTTCCTTGTTGGCCACAATTTTCACCGGCATCTTTGACCGTGTTATCAAGGCTTTTCAGAGCCACTGAATCTCTCCCTTTGTTTGACTTGAACAAATTAATATCAACAAAGAAGCCTGAACGAAAAGAGAATCACTAACTACTATAAGGAACGAACATATGGTAATGGTCTAGTTATATGTCTAATTATTCTGTAGCGAGACCAATGTGTGCTACCACAACAAACCAATCTGACAAGTTGTGGAAATTTTAACTTCCTTGCAAAGTTCCTTAACAAAGAGTAACTAAAGCAAGTAAATACCAAGTATAAAATCTAGCAAATGAATCAGAATAGTTATTGTGTTTAAGAACAAAGCTAACGAATAACCAACAAAGAATATATTTATCTCTTTATAAAGGCCACAAACCAGATATAACCCTGAAACAAGGTAACTGAATGGTTGAATAAAAAAAATCAATATTTTCTTAGTTTGATCAAACAGACAGACATAAGTAATCACGGAGGCTTTGAAGGTAACCTCATCTCTTTCTGGTAAAGCCTAAATGCTGAATCACTGTGCACGTGGACAACCAATTTATAAAATAGGTTTTCAGGTGATACGTCATTAGCTCTATGAAAATTATGGTAGCACTCGAATGCGGCTGGAAGACGTCTATGCTTTATCAAGCCTACCATTTCCTATTCAATGCAAATATTTGATTGTTCATCAAAAGCACATAAAGAATAGGACCTGGTAAAATACTAACCACATAAAAAAACATTGCAAGTACAATATAATCAATCGTTTCGGAAAATTGAACTCCACATGCAAAATTCAACAGAGCTCAAGTTACATGTAATTTACTATTCGAATAATCTGCAGACTGAGATTCCAAAAATTTTGTTACTACAAATTTGTCCGCATTTTTGGAATAACAATCTACAAATTCATCTCCAAACCAATCCAAGTTACTGGGACAAAAGCTTGGGCCAACACTCCTTAAAAGTGCCTTATTTGCTACAACACCAACAAGAAAAGGAAAAAGAGCTCATCTAGGATGAGAAACATTTACTAAACGATGACAGAAAAATTCCACGTCATGAAAATTTCGTTCTTTCTATTTTTTTTTGAACCTATATCTCGTTAGATCTATGGGCAGCACATATCTCTCTTAAACTGAGTCCCAAATCAAGATTAGCTGAAACTTTGAAGAAAAGAAAGAAAGAAAGAGGAAAATTGTAAATATAAGTGGACTTGATGGAGTGGAATGATATGACACTGATACGTATGAGGCCTTACGTCCTCCTATATTGTACCAGTATCACCGCAGAGGAAAGGCCCACAAGTGAAGAAGTGCCGCAGGCTTTGGCCCAAGAGCGTTGGAGCTTAAGGGTAGTATCTAGAAGAATAAGCTGAGCTGTACTCACTGCACATGGGATGTTGGTGACAAGGGGTAGTGTACGTGAGGAGGCTTATGAGTATAAGAGGAGAATAAGGTTGTTAGAGTACGGTATCTTTTGTGTGATCAATTGTTTCATGGGGAGAGAGAGAAACTCCTGAGAAAAACTCAAACCGTGTAACTTTTGATCAATACAACGTATTTCTTAATTTCAGATTCTCTTTTTACAAGTTTGATACCCTAAACGTATCAAATTGGTATCAGAGCACCTAAATCTGGGATAATGGCACCTAAGAAAACCGATAGCGACGTCAACATGGAGCAGATCCAACAACAGCTGGGTCGAATCTCAGTCTTGGAGGAGCGGATGAACAAGATGGATTCGATCGAGCAGAAGATGGACACGATGCAGCAACAGCTTGCAGTCATGTTCAGCAGGTGGGAGGAAGAACAGAGGGAGAAGGAAGCGAATCAACAAAAAATCCGTGAGATGGAGAAGGGAAAGGCTCATCAAAACAACGAGCCGATCTCTGATCCTTCAAGCGGAAGCAAAACTGGCGTAGCCGAAGAGCACCGCAACCCGACGTTGTTTCCAACACCGAACTCTAGAAAGGAGGGAGGATTCGTTGGGCGTGACGGAGGGTACTGGGGCCGTGACGGAGGAAGCGGGGGTCGCGAAGGGGGTTACGGTGGTCGTGACGGAGGATATTGGGGTCGAGAAGGAGGATCGGGAAGTCGTAGCATGTCAGGCCATGGGCCGTGGCATCACGACGAACCAAACGTGTGGCGTAGTCAAGCGTTGATTCGAAGGATGGAAGCACCTACCTTCGACGGCACGGAAGCGGAGGGGTGGGTGTTGCGAGTAGACGAATATTTCGAGCTAGGGGAGTTTACGGAGGAGGAAAAACTTCGAGCGGTTCGTATCTGTTTCACAGGAGAGGCACTTATGTGGTATCGTTGGGAGCGACAACGAAACCCTTTCCGATCGTGGACCCAGTTGAAGCATCGTGTGTTAGAGCAATATTCCACGTTGCAAGATGTATCGGCGGGGGAGCAACTCCTCACCTTACGCCAGGAGGGGACGGTGAGGGAGCATCGCCGTGATTTCATCAGCCTTGCAGCAAACGCTCCGGAGCTTCCAGAAGCAGTATTGGAGACTGCGTACATGATTGGTCTTAAATCGAAGATCAAGAAAGGGGTTCGTATGTTGGAAGCTCGGAACTTGCAGCAGATGATGAAGGCGGCACAGAAGGTAGAGGACTGGAATGAGGATGACGGTTCATTGGAGCCCAAATCGTCTCGGCCCAACCAGGGTAACCAGGCCGTTACGACTAAGCCCAATAACAATACCCATTCTCAGAACCGGCCCAAGACCTAGATGGTGTCACAAAACGCTAATCGTGGAAATGGGGGAAAAACACAGACGAATCACGGAAGGCTCAAACCCCCATTCCGACGGCTGACACCAGCGGAGGTGGCTAAATGGAAGGCGGAGGGGCTATGCTTCAAGTGTGACGAGAAATTTCACGCTAACCATGTCTGCACCAAATCGGAGCTCACAGTTCTGGTGATTCACTTAAACGGAGAAGAAGAAGAGTTGCTGGAGGAACCGTGTGAGTTGGTGGAGGAGGCTGCGGAGGCGATGGTTGCGGAAGTCTCAATCAATTCAGTGGTCGGTATTACTTCACCGAGAACGATGAAGCTCAAAGGATCGCTCCTTGGAGAGGAGGTTGTGGTGTTAATTGATAGTGGCGCGACACACAACTTCTTGTCCGAGAGGTTGATTCAGAAGTTAGGATTACAAACGAGTGACACTGCCAGTTATGGAGTGTTGGTGGCCGGTGGGGTAAAGGTGCAAGGGAAGGGAGTAATACCAGAATTGGAGCTGAGGTTGGACGCTTGTACTATCAAAACCAGCTTCTTACCTCTGGAGTTGGGAATCGCTGATATAATCTTGGGGGTACAGTGGTTGGATACCTTAGGAGAAATGAGAGTTAATTGGAAGTTGCAGCAAATGAAAATCATGTTGGATGGTAAGTGGGTGACTCTTCAGGGGGATTTAAGCTTACACTCAGCTAAGGTTTCCTTGAAGTCGCTATGGAAGGCTATGGGCAAAGACGGCGAGGGCATTTTGGTGCAGTACGGTGGAATTCAGAAGGAGGACGCCTCACTAGCAGTAACGACTCCGGGAGGTTGGGAGCGTGTGCTGGAACAGTTTCACGGAGTGTTTGAGGAGCCTAAGGAGTTACCACCATCGAGGGGAAAGGAACACGGCATCACGTTAGAAGAAGGAGCCAAGCCAGTGAGCGTGAGGCCATTCCGTTACCCTCAGACGCAAAAAGCTGAGATCGAGAGACAAATTGCGGCCATGTTAGCAGCGGGTATTATCCAAGAAAGTGGTAGCCCTTTTTCTAGCCCGGTGCTGCTGGTGAAGAAGAAGGATGGTAGTTGGAGGTTTTGCGTAGACTACAGGGCGTTGAACCGCGTCACGGTGGCAGACCGATATCCGATTCCGATGATCGATCAACTGCTCGATGAGTTGCACGGAGCAACGATCTTCTCCAAGTTGGATCTCAGGTCGGGATATCACCAGATTTTAGTAAAGAAGGAAGATGTCCCTAAGACGGCTTTTCGAACCCATGATGGACATTACGAGTTCCTTGTAATGCCATTTGGCCTTTCCAACGCACCCGCAACATTCCAATCGCTGATGAACCAAATCTTCCGTCCTTACCTTCGTAAGTTCGTTTTGGTTTTCTTCGACGATATTTTAGTCTATAGCCGATCTGCCGCAGCTCATGAGGAACACCTGAGTTTGGTGCTGCGAGTGTTAGAGGAGCAGAAGCTATTCGCTAACCGAAAGAAATGTCAGTTCGGGTGTGCGCAAGTAGAGTACTTGGGACATGTTATCTCGGGACAAGGAGTGGCAGTGGATAAAGAGAAGATCAAAGCGATGTTAGATTGGCCACTACCTAAGAATATCAAGGCATTAAGGGGGTTCCTCGGGTTGACGGGATATTACCGCCACTTTGTGCAAGGTTATGGTAACATTGCGAGACCCCTTACCACTTTGCTACGTAAGGATCAGTTCATCTGGAGTGGTGAAGCGACGGAGGCGTTTAGATTGTTACAGAAGGCTATGACAACTGTGCCCGTGTTAGCCATGCCAGATTTCGATGCTGAGTTTGTGGTAGAGTCTGACGCCTCAGGCACAGGACTGGGGGCAGTATTGATGCAAAACCAGCGACCTATTGCGTACTTCAGCCAAGCATTGACGGAACGCCAAAAATTGAAGTTCGTATATGAGCGGGAGTTAATGGCTATCGTATTTGCAGTACAGAAATGGCGCCATTATCTCTTAGGACGCAAGTTCGTGGTTCGCACTGACCAGAAAAGCCTTCGGTTCTTGATGGAACAACGTGAAGTAAACTTAGAGTACCAGAGGTGGTTAACTAAGTTACTCGGGTTCGATTTCGACATTGTGTACAAGCCTGGCTTAGACAACAAAGCTGCTGACGCGTTGTCTAGAAAATCAGAGTTGCGAGAACTGTTTGCAGTTTCGGTGTCTACTTCTCTCCAGTTGGAGGAAATAGCGGGGGAAGTTGATAAAGATACTGAACTGCAGAAGATTATAGCTGATTTGTTGGAGGATCCAGCGAAACAACCAGACTTTAAGTTGGTTCAGGGGAGATTACTGCGCCATGGGAAACTGGTTGTTCCGCGTTCATCATCCCTTACCGGAGTCATTATGAAGGAGTATCACGATGGCAAGATGGGAGGGCATGGAGGAGTACTCAAAACACAGAAGCGCATTGGGGAGTTATTTTTCTGGTTTGGCATGATGACTGACATAAGGAGGTTTGTAGCTTCGTGCCACATCTGTCAACGACAAAAGTACTCAACACTGGCCCCGGGTGGGTTACTTCAACCTCTTCCGGTTCCAGAACAAGTTTGGGAGGATGTGTCAATGGACTTTGTAGAAGGGCTGCCACGTTCTAACGGATTCAACACGGTGATGGTTGTGGTAGATAGGTTGACGAAGTTCAGTCATTTCATTGGACTTAGTCACCCGTTCTCTGCTATTGAAGTGGCTATGGCATTCACTCAAGAGATTGTCCGTCTTCATGGGTTTCCGCGGACGATTGTATCTGACCGGGACAAGATCTTCACGAGTGCTTTCTGGAAAGAGTTGTTTCGGTTGAGTGGTACCAAACTCTGCTTTAGCACGGCTTACCATCCCCAATCTGATGGTCAGACTGAGGTCACGAACCGCGGTATGGAAACTTACCTGAGATGTTTTGCAGGGGAGAAACCAAAAACGTGGGCAAAGTTTCTGGCTTGGGCTGAGTTAAGCTATAACTCTGCTTTCCACTCAACACTGAAGATGTCTCCGTTTCGCGCGCTTTATGGGCGTGATCCACCTACACTGATCAAGTATGAGTCGGGCTCCACAGTTAACGCAGACTTGGAAGCTCAGTTGCAAGAAAGAGATGCGGCTCTACTCACCTTGAAGGAACATTTGCATCGTTCTCAGCAGGTTATGAAGGAGCGTGCAGACAAGGGACGCAGAGAAGTGGAGTTAGAGGTGGGGGACAAGGTTTACGTGAAATTGCGGCCATACCGGCAGAGAACCTTGGCTCGGCGTTTGAATGAGAAGCTATCAGCTAGGTTTTACGGACCGTTTGAGGTTGAAGCTAGAGTTGGTTCCGTAGCCTACAGGCTGAAGCTTCCCGAGGGGGCGAGAATTCACCCTACGTTTCACATCTCGCAACTGAAGAAGGCAGTAGGTGAAGTCACTGAGGTTTGTCCCTTGCCACCACAGTTAAACAGTGAGGGGGAATTGGTGGTAGAACCCGAAGGCATCTTGGATACGCGAGTCAACCCGGCTTCAGGACAGGAAGAGTTTCGGATTAAATGGCAGGGATTACCATGTCATGATAGCTCGTGGGAATGGAAGTCAGTTTTGAAGAAGCGCTTTCCTGGCTTCGACCTTGAGGACAAGGTCAATTTCGTTGGCGAGGGTAGTGATACGTATGAGGCCTTACGTCCTCCTATATTGTACCAGTATCACCGCAGAGGAAAGGCCCACAAGTGAAGAAGTGCCGCAGGCTTTGGCCCAAGAGCGTTGGAGCTTAAGGGTAGTATCTAGAAGAATAAGCTGAGCTGTACTCACTGCACATGGGATGTTGGTGACAAGGGGTAGTGTACGTGAGGAGGCTTATGAGTATAAGAGGAGAATAAGGTTGTTAGAGTACGGTATCTTTTGTGTGATCAATTGTTTCATGGGGAGAGAGAGAAACTCCTGAGAAAAACTCAAACCGTGTAACTTTTGATCAATACAACGTATTTCTTAATTTCAGATTCTCTTTTTACAAGTTTGATACCCTAAACGTATCAGACACCAACGTGGAGAATAAACATTGATAAGGTAAAGCACCTCCATCACAGGGTGGTGGAGGATGATTTCTCAAGACATATTCCATATCTCTTGCACTCCCACTGCTCATGATACGCGCCACAAGACCCTCTAGTATCTCGCCCTGCACCTTCACATGGTCCTTGGAGCCTGATTATTTTCATCCAAAAGTTTGTTCATTATAAATTTCATGAAAACTAATATAAAATCTTACAAAAAAAAAAAAACTAATTACAGAAAGTAATAAATTACCTAGGATCGATATATCAGCTACTTCATCAAGAGCTCTACATACTGAGGTTGCTATCCCTTCTTCACATAGTGCATCAAATGCGGCAAAAAAAGAGGTCACCGATTTCCTTAATAATTTTTGACAAAATACACGCAAGCGTTACTGTTAGTACTTTAATAAAAAAAAAAATCAACAGTGTTGCAACCAAACATATCAGCATACGTCTGATACTAGCACAACCACAAACTCTCTAGTGTTTGAGGTCTATGCAGTTAGACTAGTACATGCATAAAACAGATTTCATCAGCATATTCCTCCTATAGTTAGGTAAAAGAACCTGACATGAACATGTGTATTTCAAGCTGTTCAGCAAGATTGTTCAGAGATACCACAGAGCCAACTAGAGTAACACTAAACCCTTGGAATTATCAGATAAATGTATTTCAAGCTTTGTGTTCACCAATTCTATTTGAAACAACTAAGCACCGGGTAAAATGACAATAAAGAGCAACATCACAAAGGAACAGGATAACAACAATGATTTGAAAAACATGAAGTTACCTTGTGGAAAACAACCAAACGTGATTTGTTGGTAGACGCCAAATTCTACAAAATGCAATTATTTCGGAAGTTGAATAGAACTTGGGCTTACCATTACCTAGCTCGGTAACAGCCGTCACTACCACTACAAGATGTAAATCGATTTTTCTTTTTGAATTAGACGACTTTGGCAGGCTTATTTAACTTCTATAAATAGGGCCTATGTACTTTGAAAAGCAAATGACTCTAAAACATCTAAAAGGAAAATATTTCACCAAAGTCATCCAGTGGGCGTTGATCATGATCTCCAAGAACAACTGTTACCAGTTCCATAGATACACACATGCGATTTTTTGGCAAAAATGACATTATGAGCTATCTTTCTCTGGCAATTGACTAAGCCTCAAGCATTTGAAAATTTTGATTGCTTAAATTTTTGTCCATTGAAATACCTCAAGAAAATCATTGAACTCTGTCTCCTTCTTTAACGCCTTAGTTCCCCAAGCCTCCCTAAACATCCGAGAAAGAACAAAAACACCAACCTAAGTAAAACTGCAAAATGCATTGTAGTTAACATATGAGATAACCTTTTAGTTGCTGTCTCCTCTTGCAAGCACCAGAAAAGTCCACATGACCGCATTAGAAAGAGAGAAAAAAAGGTTGTCTATATGTGGTAGAATCTTTATCCATAAAACGACACCAATAGCATCAGAAAGCAATTAAATATTCAGAAGTAAAGCATAAGATATTTCGTTGTAGATGACTAATTCATAAAACCAAGACGGAGAAAGTAATATGTATTGTAAGTGAAATGTAGGAAAAGGCATAAACAAAATCTAAAGCTAGAGTATGGTTTTATTCATTAGTGGTTTTCTCATTGTCAAAGATTATTTACGAAAAGCTCGACAAGAATAAAGATGGGGGAAATTTGAAGCGAGGAAATAAATGAGCTTACATGTTACCATAACTGTTCTTTGCATATGCTCCACCGGTGTGGCCAGCGTACATGAAGAGAGAGCCTGAATGCTTTAGAGAGACCTGTAAAAGGTTTATTACAAAAGGTCCTTAGACAATTAGAACTTCAGAGTTTTCTATAGACATATATGCACTATATATATATGTTGTTGACCACCTTCAGCGTTGCCAGCCCTTTAGATACCACCTCAATCATCCGTGTTCTTATCTGCCAAAACATAGATAAAATACAACATGAAATAAAGCAAACTAACAATCATTGCTACAAAACGAAAGGAAGCTAGTGAGACTAGTATACCTCTTGGTCAGTCTTTTCATTCTCAACCTTTGGATAGAAAGAGGCTCTAATCTGGGCATGAGGCTCTGATCTGGGCATGACATAAGTCGACTTGTCCACCACAAAATCTTTCAAGTTGACACCAGCTTTTATAAGCATTGCATCTCTAGACGAAGCACCAACTTCTGATACCGATGATGATCCAATGTGGTTGACTGGAACATTAGCATTGCTTTCCTCAACACTCAACCCACTAAATTGGTTGTTGACTGCTTCTGCAACAATGGATGTAGCATCCATCTTAAGATCAGCGAGAACTTTCTTTATCTACCAACACAAAACAGAAAAAAAATATATCAAGTCTACGTTTTAAACCAAAATCAACAAAAACTATTTCAACATCAAGACTTTTTGAGCAAAGTCAAACATTCATAGTCATACTAGTTCACCACATCCTAACGATCTATTCGCGGCACATTATCAACGAAGCAATCAAAACCTAGAAAGTACAGATTCTCGAGAGATGATAGTTCCGGAAAAACTTGCTAAAATTATTAGATAAAATCAGAAAGCTATGAATGTTAGTTCACACATGTTTCTTAGGCGTATCGAGCGGAGAAAAATCTAATTAAAGAGTTTAAACAAAAGAGTGTGAGCTAAGTAAACCTAAGGAGAATATGATCGGAGAAGAGAGGAGGTTCCGAGAGAGACGAGGTCAACGTGATTTTTGCTGAGTCGGCAAAGCGCGGTGAAAGTTTTATACTCGGAGCCTCTATAAAGTGTTATGGTGCGGAAAAGAGCACCGTAACAGAATATGGTTTTGCTAGTAATTGGGCCTGATATGGCCCATATTTGTCAATATTGGATCAGAAGAGAAGTAGGAGATGATCTATATTCGGGGATAATAGTGAGCCTTCGCTGGTTCATCTTCTGGCTAATAAATGGGCCTTAGATTGCCCATATACAAATTAGGAAAGAATTGTACCAACGGTATAACAAAACACAATATTAAAACCGTTTGAGATATTAAAATTTCCGATAAATTATTATATTAATAATGGCTCTAACATGTGTATGCTAAGTTTGCTAACCAACCCTGAGTAACTTAACTAAAGGGCTTTAAAAAGTGAAGTATAGTCAAAATCATAATACTAATAGTTAATATCATATCCAAATAGGATCACACCACAACGTTGATGAATTGGTGTTGGAGTACTTGTTGTCTTCAAGGAATCCAAATCCATTGCTCACTTCGTCGGGGCTACTAATGAATTCATCACACTTTCCAAAGGAACTCTCAAAGGACATGTTATGTTTCTCTTGGTTTGGTTGGTCCATGTTGTGAATCAATTCTAGTAGATTTGATCTTTGAAACTGCATACTCACTATCTCCACTTGAGCTTTTGCTAGCTGTGCTTGGAGCTCACTCACTTGTCTTTGTAAATTGTATATGGCACCGGCACATCCATAGATCGGGTCCCTAATTCTAGCTCCGGCTTCATACACCATACTGTTCACCGCATCAGTTCTTTGTGATTCAGGAAGTTCCTGAGAAAAACATGTCATAAGTAATTATAAAAGAGAGAAGAAAGTGATTAAGGCTAAGCTATGAAGAGAGAATGATAAAAATAGATAAGCTAGTACTTTTGTGTATTTGACCCAAGAATTATTATACGAGACTTTTCAAATGTGCATGAAAACGAAAATGTTGACAAAGACAAATAATCAATGGGAAGAGGTTAAATTTTTATTTTTATTAAAAAGGACAAAAAAGTTAGATATTGTGAACATGTGTGCTTTGTATGAAGTTTTTATTAACATTACAGAACAAGTAAGATCTAATTCTCACATGACCAATGAACCCATTTTCCGATAATTAGAACAAAGAGAGCATTCATATTTACAGTTTTGGTACTAGAAGATATTGTAATTATTACACCAGTACATAACTAGCTTACCTGCAAGAGCTTAATGATGTTGCTGGCTCCAAACACACGGTGGGCAATGGTGAACTTGGCTGGCTCAGTTGGAGGGAAGTAAGGTGCCAAAACGCATTTCTCTCCGCAACGCCGCCTCAAAATTTTGCAAGCGGCGCATGGGCTAAGCACCATACGTGGTGAAAGCTGTGGTGGGGGAGAGGAGGTTGGAGAAGCAGAGATGATAGCGGCAGAAGCGTCATAGTTACTCTCCATATCAAGCATTATCAAGTGTTTTTGAGGTGAAGTGCTTTTTGGTAGATATGTGTATATATAGGAAGAGTGAGGTGACCACCTGACATCATAATCTCAAATAATGACGCCATATTTTTTTGGTGATGAAACATTTATGTTTCCACATTACGGTGGCTCCTAAATTCTTTCCACGCTTTCAAGTTTCAACGGTTGCTTGACTTTGGCACAACTAATTTCTTCTCTTCTTGATTTTTCTACATGATCTTATTCTTACATTCCAATATTAGTCTTTTATAAAAGTCCATAATAGCTCGCATTTGATTGGTTATTAATGTACGGGTCTTCTACTCTCAACCTCTAGATTCTAGAGTATAGTCTCTGTCTATGAAGATTTCATTAAGCGTCTCCAAAAACACAGGCAAATATAATATTTGATTTAATTCTACTTCTTAAGTTAAGTTAAAGTAGATTAAATGTAGGTATTTGATGCATAAGAACTAGTTTCTCATACTAATAGTAAATTTTATATGTTTATCATAATCTAAAAATTATCACTTTAACTGGTGCCTTGAAGGTCGTACTTAAGTATGATAATTAGTGAAATAAAACAAAAGGCCACGTGGTTTATAGGTTGCCTAATTTTTGCTGAAACGTATTTTGTTTTTATTAACCAATATTCTTGGAACTCCTTTGTATTTTAGTTATGCGTACTTTCGTGAGACTTTCTACTTGAACGACTTATCTTTCGAAGTAGCGGTATACTTATGAAAAATCCAAAACACTAGACTCTTGTAAACACCTTTATTTTCCAAATCTCAATAAGATTAGTAGTATAAAAATGAGAACTCTGAGAAGACTTAAGAGACATTAAGAAAACATATAGTGGATCGAAGCTTGGTACTTAGCGGTCCCAAAACATCAATTTATTCAATAGTTATTCACCAACATTAATAAGAAAAAATTGGGAATCAAATAATAGAAGAATGACACGTATAGTCATGTGGGATCGCTAGTTATTGGGTGTGCTTCTCTTTCCACCTTCAACAGCTAGCTATCTATCTCTCTACTATGCATACTCTCAACTAATCCTTTTTGAAAATGACAAAAGATTTTCTTTTCAAAAAATGTTGTGATAAATATTTTGAAAAACAATAAGAACTATTTTTCTTTTATAATAGTGAAATCTAACAGACGAAATATTAGAGTGGAATGATGGTGAATATTTTTAAAGAAAGAGTAAATAGTAATGCTGGTGAATTTGTGTTAATAAGTGAAAATTATATAAGAAAATGACCAAAGAGGGTAAAACTAAATGCGATCGCTTTGTCTTCTAGTGTGCTTGGATAAGCCGATATTTTGCATGTAGGGTACGTTCTCTGGATATATCATTCGGTTTTGCCACTTTTGGGGGACAAATATATATTGCATCACACGTACGTATATCCACGCACATTGTGTACTTTAATCTAGATTACATACGCTATATAAAACATTAATTTATGATAAGTTTTGTGTGGAAACTATTTTTAACGTCTTTCGTTTGCGTTTAAGTAACTTTTTAGCAAAAGAAAAACGTCTTTCGTTTAGTGGAAAAAATACAAGTACCACTTTAGAATATTAATCCTGAACAAGTGATGTGTATCTTATTCGAATTCGTTCATTAATTGGTCAAAGATTGTCTTTTGGATCGTGTACACTAGGGTAGTTTGATTGGGGCTCAATAAATGCTATAAGTGCAAGACTATCATCATCATCATCCGATCAAATCATCAATAACTTTTTCGTCAATCATTTTCTTGTGCTTACTTTAATTTGTTTCGAAGCTCTTGTGCCAGATAAATTATATCATCAGATCGTTACTGAAAAAATTATCAACAAGACTCTACTAGGTTGGGATGATGAAATGAACTTTCGGGCCTATACGTACGTGTGCGTCTGAAAAAATACTAAGCATGTGTTACTAACAGGCAACTAAATACAGTACTATATATTTATGCACTGATTATGGTATTATTATTATGGGGGCCAAACTATTTGGTCTCATAAGAATCAATACGATTGTAGAATATAAAGCATTCCCTCTAGGAAAGGGAAACACAAAGAGGTTGCCAAGTGTCCATAAGCCATGTCACCCCCACAAGACTGACTATAGACTGAAATTTATTCGTGACATCTAATTGTTAGTGATGTAATCATGTAACCTAAGTTCTAATTATGTTTCTTGCGCACCACATAAATGATACGTTTGACTCATTGACTATGGTTTCAACGATGCATGTCTTTGAAATTTCCTCTTTGAGTACAAAAACAGTTTAAGAAGCGTGGAAATAATAACGTTTTTAGTAAGACTCTAGGAGGTTTATTAACGAACCAGATGGACTTCAATTTAAAGTTTGATACTTGACTAAAAAATGTTACAACTTATTGTAGACACTCGTAATATGTTTATTATTATGATATCTGTTAATGTTTTTTTCTGAAAGATGGTATAAGTTGATGTTAGATATGATAAATGTCAATAGTATGTAGTTAGATTTGGTCTTATCTAGAATATGAAATATAAAGTTGTTGATATACTTTACCTATGTGAATGAACAAAGTAAAGTACTGATACAACTTGATAGTTCCTACTATTGATAATACTTTTTTTTTTTTTTTGACATCCTATTGATAATACTTACCTATATACTTTCATTATCATAATTAATATGAACATATATCGTATCCAATATTTATTAATGAAATTATTGATCATTTGAAATGATCAACAAACACACCAAAATCACGTAGTCCCAGGCTGCTATAAACTTTGAAAATTACCAAATAGCAACAAACAAAACTTGTTGATATTTCAATAAAATGAATTTTCAAAAAAACTTTGGCACATCTAAAATATTAAAACAGAAGTACAAATAGATAATACCCTTTAATTTTCCTCAAATATTACAAAGCATGCCACTGTATCAATATATTTCTATTACTGTGAATAAATTAAAAATGTCTTTCAAAATTAGTTTCCATATCATGTGCACAAGCAATTACAACAAATATTTAAAATTGATTAGCATATATTTTCAAAAGATACGATTTAGTTAACAGTTTAGAACAGAAGAATATTATAGATTGTGTGTGTTACTATTATATCATATCCACGTGGGTTTAGTATAATAGAATATTAGAGTCCACCATAAATTTATATATAATTCAATCAATAAAAATGAACATAATACAACTTAATATATAACTTATTGCATGTAGTAATTATTAATATCTATAAAAAATGTTTAAACATTTTATGTTAAATACACATTCAATATCTATTTATTTATTATTAAAAAAATAAAATATTTCCACATGGAAACATGGTGTATATTATAAAAATGTGTCGATAACAATTTATAGTTCAAAAATAAGATAAAATTATTTATTAGAACAATAAAATTATTATATTTAGAAATTTTATATCAAACAACTACATAATATGGATAAATTTTAAAAATATATACTACAATTATAGAAAAAAATGTTTATTTATAAATAAATTAAAAACAAACACCCGTGCGGACGCACGGGTCAAACTCTAGTTATTTATTCAAAATATTGTCAAATCCACAACTATTCGTAATTATTACTTATATTGGCTTTATGTATATGGTACAGTATTTTCGAAAGCATTGCTTAATTTGTCTTACCTTACACTAACTCGTCTCGTACAGCTAAATTCTTTTTGTTTTCAATATGATAGTGTGTTTTTTTCTTTTGAAGCCATAATTGCTTTGAACTTCTTTTGAGACTAGAAAAAAAAAAGAATGTATATAAAAATAAAAACAGAAGTGACCCACACGGAATTGAAAGAGGAGCTCACTAATATTACAGCCAATTTCCCACACAAAGGTAGAACAGCTTCGAACTCTGTACGGTGTGAATGTGTTTCGCAAATGAAGCTACTCTACTAATACATTTCTCTCTTTGTTGCTCCAGTCGCATATTTTATAATATATGATTGGAGCATTACAATTTAGTGTTCTTGGAGTAAATGAGTAAATACTGTTACGCGTAAGAGTAGTCCAACCAGGACCCAAGTAATCTAGCTAGCTAGTTGGAAACTCCAAAGATGACAAATTTAAGGTAATAAATCGAGTAACCTGCTTTACTCCGTGATTTGGAGAGACTATAGATGTAAGGTCTGACAATTTTTAAAGAAAAACAAATAAACTAATAATTTTTTTTCAAAGATCGCATAAAGATAGTTAAAAGATAAAGAAAACACTATAGCTAGATTTTTAACACTTTTAACACATCAATCACTATAGTTAGCCAAAAGCACTAAGCGGTGTTACATTTCCCTCTTTTGGGGTCCCCCCGTCAGAAAGCAATTTACCATAATCCGAAATTTTTTATCCAGCTGATAAAGCCCATAAACAATAGATACCAATCCGGAACCCAAGTTTCATTTACAATAGTATCTCAGAAACGCAATAGCATATGAATATGATTCTTTGAATATTCCTATACCAAAGGAGGCATTGGATTATTTTTTTGTCCCTTCCAGAAGGCATTGGTTTAAAACTGTATTTATATTATCTCTTTGACATAATTATATAGCAAATGTCAATATTACCATTCAACCTTATTCAAAGTTTATTTATGGTTTATCACTACCGCAAGTCTAAAATTTGCACACCAAAAAAAAACTTAATAACCGCGGCACAAGTGATTTATTAAAATGTCTGAGCAAAGCAAAAGGGAAACCGAACTGCGTCACAATCACAAGACCACCCAAAAAAAAAACAAGCTACGCAGATCCGTCGAGTACATTAAGCAAAACAAATGACAAAGTTCAAATGAAATGCGAACCCTCCACAATCCCCCACTCAAAAGCAGCCCTGAGTCTTGTGGGTCACACACAGCACATATCACACCTTAAGCATCAGCAAACCTGCAACCAACAGGTAATTCAAACTCAGAATCATAATACCATTCAATTTAATTTACATATGTACTCTAACATTCAGAATAATTACCCGAGCTCAGAAAGCTTCAAGTGGGCTTCAGCGTAATCAGCGAAAAATGCTTCCTCGTCCTGTTTGAAATTGTGACAAACCCAACATTAGGTCACTAAAACCAAGTCAAAGAAGATAAAAGTTTAGATAGAAAGGATGCATACAGCAGCGTATTTCTCAACAAGAGGACGGAAAACTGGATCGTCCAATAGAGCCTTGTCA